CAAAATGTGTGATGACGCCACACTAAACTCGTCAAAAGGACACACCTTTTGAAGGGTGGAATATAAACAAATCGGAAGTTGTAATGTGGCGGAAGTGAGATAAGAGGATAGGGAGAAGGTAAATGGGCCAGGACAAAAAAAGGAGTGAGAGATTAGCCGTTTCGGCAGAAATTTGCTCAAGGTATTTACTTCACGTGTCTTTTTGACGAATTGTGGTGTGGTGCTTAGAGTAACAAGATTCACTGACGATGCTTGCGAAACGTCTGAGAATCTACCAAGTCCACAGTTCGAGGCTGAGAATTATGCTAACTGCTATAGAAGAGGATTTCGGACAGGATGAGTTCAACTAAGTTGCCATGACAACAAGACGAAGTTGCGAAAACTAGCTCAACCAACTTCTTTTTTGGACCGGGCCGATGGGTGTAGTTGACAATCAACTTAATATAAAATTGATTTCAACGTGGTAAAAACTAAAAAAAAGGTTTTAGCTAATCACTTATGTGGTTTTAGGGTGAGATGTAGAAGAATGAGCAAGGCAAGCCAACATGAGAATTTAGCAAGAGAAATTGAGATATCATTATTGTACTTTCATTCCATAGAAACGTGTTAGATAAAGTGAGTGGAAGGTCGATCTCAACATCATCGTCATCATGGGATGAACATTATCAGAGCTAGGTACCCATTCCGACTTTATATACAGACAGACACAGCCACGTAAAAGTTCAATGACCAACATGAAAGAGAGCTAAGCAACTAATTATAAATCTGCCTATCTTGATGTTAACTCTTTTCGCCTTATAGTTATGAGTTTATGGAGCATAAAGGAGAAAGCGACGTAGTCTTCTCGGCTTAGTGTTTGTTAACTTGAAACTTTTGCAAGAATGAGTAGCAGCTTTGATGATTTCTTTCAGACAATGGACAAAAGCTTAGCTCATTTTTGCCCGAAATGAGGCAAAATGCCTCGTGAACCGCGTCAATCTTAGGGTCATAATAAAGCCAAACTGCTGCTGTAGAACGGAAATCTTCGGAGTAGAATGACCTTCTAATCTCTCCATCATGCACTTTTGATACAAAATGAAGGCTTTGCCAACATTGGTATCTGAGATGAGTCATCGAAGCGAAGTTACTCTTCATATCTGAATCAAGATATCTCTTAAGCCCATTCTAACAGCAACGTTTCGCAGCAAACAACTCTGGAATCGGTTGTGAGGATTAAAAGTGTGATAAAGCGTGAATACAGCAATCGGGAGGTGTATACATCAATTGTGGCCTTTCACTAAATGAATATACTCTAAATATGTTTTCTTTATCTCGGTTTAGTATCTTTTTGCTCTATTTCGTAAAGTATAGGTTCTTGCTCTGATGATGTCTGTCATGTTGGTACAGATGAATGCTTATCACGGGCTAATCAGGCTCACAGAATAGTGAGCACAATACACAGCCTTCATTGTGCCGCAATCCTCCGTCGGTTTCTGCTGATATCACATCAAGAATAACTTATACCCAAATTTCCATTCGAAATGGAAAGTCATGTCACAATGTCATGATGCCAACTGTTATAACATACACTGCCCTATCTCTAGGTTCGATTCTGGCTGGGGATGCTGCTGAGGTTGAAACTATATTTTCGTATTAAAGCAGAGTTTAGAGACTAGCAGACCTTCATCACTTTAAACAAAATAGGGTGAATACATCTCCTATTACTGATTTACTGGTAG